CACTGAAAAATGATTTTGATGTCACAATTAAAAAAATATAAAATGTACAATTATAGACTTTAAACCTGGAGAACATTCAATCGCTACGTCCTCAATGTGTGCACAGTCATGTTCACCTAACGCTGGATGTGAACACGACGAAAGCCTAGACTCCCAACCACTGCAGTCGACTTCATCTAAAAGGATGTTTTGATATGTATCTCCTTGGTATCCATAAATGAGTGTCTGCACTGGATATCCATAGCCTAATTCACGACAGACCACAAGAGCATCATCTAAGTCCCAGCGATCATTACAAACCGTTCCCCATTCTCCGTTATAATATATCTCAACACGTCCTTCATAAATTGTACTTCCACCGGCCAATCGGACTGAAAATGCATCTAGAAAAAAAACCATTGAAAAAGTAATTATACAGTTTTCTGGGGTGGATACAGGATTTTGTGAAAAGTGGGAGGGATGTGTGACTTTCATAGATGAAGGAAGATGTATACCAGAAATAGAATATCTAGTAGGCACTACCTAGCATTAAAAAAAATAAAATTGTTAGCCTATGTTTTATCTAATAAATTCTTATTCATTCATTATAATTGGTATTGTTGTATCGCGTATGAATGAAATGAATGAAACAGATAGGCCTACTATAATATCTACGAGAGCTCTAGTTACTTCTAGTACTTAAGACCCAGAACCTTCGAAAAATACCTGACTCAACAGAACCGATGGTTACAAACAGCATAACGATGACTTTAACCTCCATCTTGTTTTTTTAATGGAATTGTAAAGCTGAAGAAAAAATGTGACACATTCAAAAATTATTTAAACGCGCTTATTAATTCCATATAGGTATAGGCTAGAAGAATACTACATATATGGCTCTTATCCTAGTGATTCCGTGCCATTTTGTAATATCTGACTGACAGTAGATCGAACTGGCATACCAACCATAAATGTAACAGTAACATTACCACCAATCATAATACTGTATCATCATATAATATTATGATGTAGGCCTACGCACAAACACTATGTAGTGTACGCCTATGTAAAAAGTGCGTCCAATATAAATGTCACTTATACAACTGAACATATATCTATA